GCAGCATGGTTGGACCATCGCGGGATTGAAAACCATCGGATCGAGACAGTTGCCGGCCGTCCATCAATCGTGGGCGTGATCCGAGGCTCGGGTGGAGGAAAGTCACTCATGCTCAATGGCCATATTGACACCGTGAGCCTGAACAGCTACGAGCATGAGCCTCTTTCGGGCCATATCATCGAGAAAGACGGCCGCCCGGTTATTTTCGGCAGAGGTGCCTTAGACATGAAGTCTGGTCTCGCCGCGGAAATGGCAGCTATTGCCTCCATCAAATCCCGCAACGTCCCCCTGCGTGGAGATGTCATTTTTGCAGCGGTATCGGACGAAGAAGACGCATCTCAGGGAACCCAAGATCTCATCGCGGCTGGATGGCGCGCAGACGGGGCCGTCATTCCGGAGCCTACGAATCGTGTTCTCATCACTGCCCATAAGGGCTTTATTTGGGTCGAGGTTGATATTCTGGGCACTGCTGCCCACGGCTCAGACCCGGCCTCTGGGGTGGATTCAATCCTTCAGGCCGGATGGTTCCTCGCCGCGCTGGAAGTCTATCAGCGTCGTCTACCCGTTGACGAGATTATCGGACCTGCATCCTTGCATTGCGGTCTGATCAATGGCGGTGAAGAACCCTCGTCGTATCCAGCGAAATGTACCGTGACGGTTGAGTTTCGAACTATTCCTGTGCAGACGGACGAGTCCATTCTCCACGACATGAAGAGTCTTCTGGCCACAATTGCCAAAGATAAGCCCGGTTTCCGGTACGCTGAACCTCGGGTCACTTTGTCGCGGCCATCGCAGAAGTTGCCTGTCGAGCACCCGCTGGTCCAGCAGACCGCTGCGATTGCCACTGATATCTATGGATATCATCCATCTATTGAGAGTATGGCTATCTGGTGCGACGCTGCTCTGTTGGGTGCCGTGGGCATCCCGACCATTGTAATTGGTCAAGCTGGGCAGGGGTTGCATGCAAAAGAGGAATGGGTTGATGTTGGTAGTATCAAGGAGACTGAGCAGATTTTTGTTCGGCTGATTGCTGATTGGTGCCAATAAGTCTTTCTCTTTATGCCATTGGGCATTCAACTGATGGATGGCATCTAAGATTTCTTTGTGTATGGTACAAATAGATAAATCGATCAGTGTTGACAGTTGTGAGTATACGATCGAGTATTTCACAAGGGTTCTAGTACAAATTTAGAACACTGTAATTGTTATTCACATCAGACTTTTCCGAACATATTATTTGGTCATCGTCTGCGACTGGAAATTCCCTCATCTGCCTTATTATTTTGCTCATCCACCACTCATCTAACTTCTTTACACTCACCCTGAGAGTTAGAAACTATTACTCATAAAGTAGAAACACGCTCTGGTCTTCTTCACATTTGGCTACGTTTATAAGTGTGGCTTAAGTACGGCTGAGCAGACAGGAAGCCCTGATTCTCATATCCTATGGCCGTATGTGCTTGCCTCAACTTCTCTGTGATCTAGACCTTTGTTTATCACATTTGAAGTTGCTCTAGTAGTGCTAAGTTACTTCAGAGAAATGTAGAAGAGAAGCTGAGCTTGCTGCATGCGTTTAGTCTACGAATCGACTATGTGCGTGATCACCACTGTTGCCCCAACATATACTTCTCCATTCGTAAATTAGGTGGTTTATTTGCAAAGAAAGCCATGGCTCCGGCAGGCACCCGATCATTCTCGATGTATAATACCCTTTCGGGGCCCTTGAAGATACTAATTACCCCAAATCCTTCACTCCGAGACCAAAGAGGAAACACTGCGACGGAAGACTCATCATCCTTGGTCTGAGGGATGAGAGTCTTTTTAGTAGCGGGGCCATTGAAGGTCTAGTGAGCCTTTGGTAGTATGAAACACGCGAGAGGCAGGAAGGAATGGTATTTACCGTAGTGCCAAACTGTACCCCAGCCCCGGTGGCGGATGCATTCAACCCGATGTCTGACAACATGCGATTCGGGCGGTATATCGAGACGAAAACGGTTATCTCTTCTGTATGTTGGTTTACTATTCGAATGCATGGTGGGATGCTCCTGCTCGTTCGGACGATTGCCCCGAAGATCCCCTATTAAGAAGCATTAGCGTAGGTCTCGGTAGAGGGTTGATCAATGCGGTTTCCGACTTTTGGCACAGAATCGATGGGATAGGCTAGAGCGTCGGCCCATTCCACGACCGTTTCAGGCTCAGGAAGCTCTGCGGCGTAAATACATGGATCGTGAGGCTCGTCCAGGGCATCGTAGAAGAGTGTGTCACTGGCTGAATCGTCCATTGGATCACTGGCCCCGTTTACTGTCTGCGGACTCTCGCCCTTGGGGTGGAAGGTGAAGGGAACATGGATGAAACATAACGGTGAGCTTCTGCCATGACGAACTCTGTCGCATCTCGCAATATATCGACGGCGAGGTTTACCGATTCTACAAGATAATTCAAACTGACTGGGTGGTTAGAAACAAAGACGACAAACCGCTCCTCTACTGGTAGGTTGTTTGAAATTCCTTGTGGCCAGAACATTTCGGATCCTACTAGTTCATCGAAGGAATTGTTTCCAAGAGTAATGCCATAGTCGGGAGGAAGCTCGATGCCCAGAGGCCAGGCTCCAGTCAGTGGATGAGACAGTGCCGCCCACATTAATGTTCAACACGGATGCGTAGATACTGTTACCTCCAGCATTCTCAAGGCGTATGTAGATAGAGTCCCCTTCAGTAATACTATCGTTACCTTTCATCTGAAAATTGAGCCAGCTGCAACGACGGAATATTGCGCCACCGGGAGCTCCCCCGACTGCACGTCAAAACTTGGTTAGTGTCACCCAAGCTATATCATCGTATCCATGACGTGTGGAAGGAGGGTTGGTGTCGGATTGAAGTTGCGCTGATAAATTCCCTCCCAACAATTAATCTCATACCCCGCAAAGCTTCATTCATGCTGATATATGCGACATTCCATATCAGTTGGCCCTCCCTTAGCATCCCACAGGGTATTTAGTCTTCTCCTCAGCTAGATCCTTGGATTAGAATATCAAGCTCCCTCATCACTCTTGCTTCCAGAATCCACATATGTTCTAAGCACTGCACTTGAATTTTTATGATTACATTTCATCAGCAGAGCTTTCCTCGCACATTATACTATGGTTTTATTTGATTTTCGAACGGCCGTACAAATCGATAGATGTAGTATTTGTAAACTGCGCGGCGATGGATTCAACCGCTGTTCACATGCAGTAATAGCCCTGCCACCTCCCAGCACTCTAGTACATGGTGGAGAGTTCTATCGTGTCTACGACGAACTCTCTGTAAGCCAGTACTATCCAAAGTACGTTTTTCTCAGTGGCAATGATTCGCACTATTTGGTTACCCGAATTACGATTTGACCGAACTTCGGTCAAGACGCAACTTGACCCGTACAATCAGGAACCGACCAGCTACATCTCCATGTATGCATCCCTTGAGAAAACACGGGACGAGTGCGTGCGAAGGATGAGAGTCAGACTACAAGGTCAAGTGAGGGTGTCCAGGGTCAGCTGGTTAAGAAGGCTGAAGGAAGAGCGGGTTTTCTTGACTCCAGTGAACGAGCTACTGAGGACAAAAGTGTTGAACGACGGTGTCTACTTCGTGGAGCAATTTATCGTGGCCTGCGGTCTACTGGGGAGATATCATTATGATGGGCGAAGGCAAGAGCCGTCGACAGTTTGGAGACAGTTTGTTAGAAGTGCGATGACTGGGAAAACGTAATGTCTAAGTCTTGATTGCGTTATATCCTTGCTTGTAGGCCCTTTTCATGTCATATTGTTCTAGTTGAGTGGCATCATTTGGCCCCTCAATCGAACCCGGAAGACCGACATTGTCGCCGAGTGTATGCAACATCAATCTTATTAATCAAGCCGTGTTTTTCATTAATCCTAACAATGCCAGTGAGGGCTATGCTCCATTCACCGTATATTGGTCAAATAAAATCTTAATTCTTCTCCTAGGCCAATGTTTCTTCCATGGGGTTTCACCCAAATGGCCGACAACGTTAGCGAAACACCGAGGGAGATCTCTCTCCGTCCTGTGGCGGACAGAGACCTGGGTCTTAATCGCCATAACCCTGCGAGAGGTTGAGACAATTCTCGCAGGCCACACAAAACGTGCCCCCTGGATATTTTTCATGAAGATCTCACTGCTCACGCGCGACTAATGCCAGACAATATTCCTCTATGGCCTTATCAAGGAGCCCCGGAATACTAGTTACTGGTCTTAGAAACTAGTTTGTCTAGAAATTAGCGTTTTTGAAGCATATGTCAGAAAATATTCAGAGAAATGTGTTGGAAATATATACGTGAGGTGTTCAATGTGATGGATCGCCTGCGGTTTACGAGCAGGAATCCTGCCGAATATCGGACGGATGTCTAGGGTACCGATGTTCGCACCTTACTTTTGCATGGGAAAGCATGTCTCCATGCCTCTATATAAAATGGCCTGTGTTTTCCATAGTTCTAGAATAGGTAGAGAGTTTGATATTACCATTCTGGTACCCATACAATATTGGTCACTTTTCCTGTCAGCATACACAGGATAAAACCCTGGGACGCATGTGGGCCGAGTAGGTACTAGGAACACGGTTGAACTGCAAACGGCAAACCTTGAAGAACCACTACGTAGTATGAATATATGGGCCCCAAAGCAACAAGTCAAGTAACTTTGATCTGCTTCAATGACTCTCAAACACTACACTGTTTATGCATCTCTTCATCGCTCGCCTGGAGGGCGCTTACTCCGCGGCTTCCCCCGCCTACCTAATTAAGACTGGGCTGTTTTCGACAATATCTTAAGACTGGCAGAATTCGATTTGGCAAAAGAACATCAAATATGCGGGTTCCGACAGTTTGAGAAAACGAGTTTAGTGTCGTCTTGCACTTGGCAAGGACCTCTCTATTTTCATTAGAAATCTTCGCTATAATGATGTCGCTTGGCGAGATGGCGTCAAGGATACAAAAAAAGATTGGGCTGTGCCCCCACACCGGTTCGAACGATGGACCTCTTCATAGCACTTAAGAGTACACTACGCTAAGAAGGTCAACATTGGAGATTCAACTCCGTCGATTTTGATACGGTAACTTACAGTGAAGCGCTCTACCACTGAGCTATAGGGGCGATTTGCTAGCGATTTCCTTCAATAAGGTCTCTTGGCCAGCTTGAGTGTATAGATGAGCATCTCCTTTGATCTACATCTTCACAGCAGGATATCCCTATCAGAGTATTGACCTATCTATGTAGGCTAGATTGATACTGTACATATATGACTCAATTTCTTACATATGGTACAGTTACCGCAGATTTTCTATCCAGGTCAACTAACCAAACTTACTTTACTACCTTCCTAGAAGAGAGCATACTTGCATATCAGGCAACTCAGGTATGCGAGCTCCTGTGTGGATGGATTATCGCAGGCCGATCTCATTATTTGAATACTGTGGATTTGCCTTGTGCGACCGTACTAATGTGACGTACACACCGAAGCTCACCCAATGGATTTACATGTCTGTAAAAGGAGAAATGCCGGTTGACCTGTTAGACACATTATTGATGCACCTCAAAAGGCCGGCCAGAAAAAGTTCCAAGTACCATCTCGCCCAAATTATGGTGCGGGTCCGTCTCGTATTTGATATTAAAGGCTAGATCACAGGAGTGACGATCTAATTTTCACCTGAATATTAGATTGAAACATCGATGAGGCATGAGCATAGCATCAAGCAGTATCTAATTATCAGAACCCTCATCATTCCCGGACCAATCTACCTCAGATCCTTCAATAACAATAAGCGGGCGCAATCACAGTAGATCGTTGTCCTCCTGCCTGATAGACTCATCTTCTTCTTCATTCTCATCCTCATATTCGGTCCCCTCGTACTTCCCAATGACTACCGTGATGGAACTCATCCTTGTGTCTCCAACACTTGAAGCAAAGATAGAACGGATGGAGACAGTCTAGGCAAGTGTGGAAGGTGCCAAATATGCCCTGTTGAATGACATCAGTCATGCAACTGGTATGCACAGCGAGGGTACTTACAAACAAGCAAGCACGGCAGAATCCTGTAGTGCAGCATGCTCTGCGCGATGTATGGAGGTCAGAATCCCATGATTCCACTTGTCCATGTTTATACAACCTTGTCGTTTGCCTTGGAGTCAGCAGCTGGAGCATCTCTGTACTGGCATCATGATACATGGCCAATTTTAGAGGTGACCATTCGCAGTCATATCCATGGCCTCTTGCCCAGAGGTCAGCGCCGTGGGAGAAAAGAAGCTTGATCATCGATTGCTGAAGCGTAAGTGACGTACCCCAGTGGCCGCATACTGTACAAGCCTAGAGCAAAGGGGTGGGGTTCCAGTTATCAATGTCTGGCTCGTTAATCATGTTTCTCGTTGAACGTAATATTAGCTCTACTAGTACTAGGTCCTCATCTCTAGTTGATACAGCGATATACAGAGGCGTCTTCCATTGGTGATTCTTGACAGCGAGATCAGCACATTCATGCCGCAGCATGCGAACTTTATCAGATAGGTGGAAGAGAGGCGGAGAGCTTACAGGCTTGATATGGGAATGAACCTGCTATGTTGCAGGTTAATTTAAGCATCTCACTACGTGCATTCATAGTAGCGGGTGTTGGAGGCCCAGTAGGCATGCTAGTAGTAAGGTTAGCATAGCGCGATAGCTTCTATACCAGATTGATCAGTGGTGACATGTAGCAAGAGAGACATAACGAGTGACCGATCATTTCCAAGGTGGGAATCCTGCAGCGTCAACAAGAAATCCTAATACAAGAGGTATGCAGGAGCTGCTGTCTGATACGGTGATGGTATCCAATCTTCATCGGTCTAGAACATGCAACTGCCTTATAAAACCTGGAGGAGGAACCAATTAAAGCCTTTGGTTTGAGAATTTCGGCTAGCACTTCGCGCTGTGAACGATGCGATTATCGCATCGCCTTTAGCGCTGCCCTATCCCGGGTTGGATATGGCAGGTTACACCTGGAGAGACATTAAGCGGGGCAGTGCTAATCGAGAGGAGAATAAATGGATATAGTTCTGCATGCGGAGTTGAGCTTCATGCGACCTTAAGCCCATGATTTGTTTACCAGAAATATAAAAAAAAATAAAAATAAAAGGTGGGGGGGGGGTTGGCTTATCGAATATAATTATCCACCACAGTCGACTGAGGTATCTTGTTTCATTCATCAACCTTTTCGCTATCATAAGTACTATAGTTTCTCTCGATACTGGTGTTCTCTACTCAAAATCTTCTAAGATTTAGACTATCGTCACTACGTATCCATAGGATGTGCTGGCGGGAACACCCTGCTCCGGTGTACTTCTCTAGGTGTAAACATATCATGAATATACCAGCAGAATCTACTCGCCTTATGTGCCCGGAGGGTTTCTCCCGGTTACCCCCATTATATTGCAATTTGATTCGAAATACCGTCAAGTCAACCACCAAGACACATACGAGCCAGCCATCGACGATCGTTTGTGTTCTTTTTGGTTTGGTTTCATGTCGCCTGAACAAAGGTGTAGCTCTGGTATGCATTATTGATGGGATACAATTCTATAAAGGGGGCGCTTTTGCCGATGAAATAGAGCACAGCCTGACATAGTTCCACGAGTTCTTCAAAAGTGTTGAGAAGCCAAATGCAATGAAGCTTCTTGTCACTGAATGCTGGGTGCTCAGTAAGGAAGAGGGTGAATTACGTGCTAAAAGCCACTCCCTTCTTTTCAAACAACCTGAGTGTCGGTTCTCGCAAAACCTCATTTCCATGCCAATACGGAAGCTACTATGCAAGCCTAATACTAGTCAGATGGCCTACGCTGGCTAGTAGACCCTTTACGGTACTTGTGGTAGTTGCGCATGTCCGGGTTCCACATGATGAATAGGAGATTGCAAGGTTATATTAGCAGGTAGATAATACGTACACCAATCTCACATTTGGCCAATCCTTGTAAAAGGAGTTACCTACTCAACTCCTTTCTCCATGAACTTTACTGCAAGTAAGCAGTCGTGAAATCTGGACGGTACGGTAAACAGGCGTAACCATGAATACAGAGCGGATAACTTGAGTGCAACAATATCAGAGGTTTCAAACAGATACGGAACTTAAGAATACAAGTTCTTACTAACTTCGCAATATTCCAATTATTTAGTATATTGTTATCTGTTATCCTAAGCAGTTTCCCAAGCTCTGTTTTCATTTGCGCTGAAGTCCTTTCATTAGACCAATACCCAACAAACCCAGTGTAATTACAACCTCTCCGCACTACTTGACTGTTAAGAATTATTTCGGCATCCAGTCATTTATCTTTATCATTATTATAAATGGGAACTGCTCGTCTATCATTAGTAGCAACTGAGCTGATCAGGTCAGAAAGGTTAAGTGTTGCCGGGAGCTGGCTCGAACTGAGTATTGATACTACCGGATGGATACGCCATGAAGGGAGTAGTGCCAATCTGTAGGAAAAATGGCCAATATGTACAAAATATGGAAAGTTCAGGCATACTATTGCTGAAGCCTAGCTGGTGAAGAATTAGTACTGTTGGGATCGGACGAACCAGCCGTTGGCCCGGCCTGATGCTCGTGGAGCAGGATTTTGACTTTGGCTCAGTAGGATTCTCATGCCTCAGACTAATGCCGTCACGGTTTGATAACAATCATCTTCAGTCGTTAAGCCATCACCTTCCTAGATGGGCTCCTGGGGTTCTGCAAAAGGGGTTCGAACTGTTGTGGGCTATGTAGGCGGTAGTAATAAGGACCTTTATGGCTTGGTAAGAACACAATCATACTGTTGGAATAGTTAAAGTTGCACCACTCAATAAATAAATACAATAAGAGTCATGACACTTTCCGATAGCCAAACGGTCTCTATCTTGGTTACGCATACGTTCTTTACCCGACTCCCATACACAAACATAATTATCAGGACCTCATTGCCATAGTGTCCCAGTCAAAGAAAGGGGCTTTTTGTATGAGGTAATGTATCCGCCCCTGATACTGAATCAGTCTTTCCTTCATAGTATTACACATTGGGTTTCCTTCTGAGTATTCTAGTTTCGATGTTGAGAAAACCTACTCTAGACTTGAAGCAGCTGCCTTTTGCATAAACCGACTTGAGCTTCGTTTCAGGTAAGGAACTCGTTCCCCTGATTTTCAAGACAGTCAATGTAGATTGAGGATCGAAACGAGGACATGAATTTAGCATCCTGGTTCAGGATAAATTGTTGTGTAAGACCCGCTTAAATATGAACCGATCTCTAAATCGCAGAAAGCTTTTAATCAAGTATGAAGGGATGGATAGAAGTTAAAGCTGATGAGCATGAGGCTTAGTAAATATATATCTACCACCTTCACTTACTATGGCCCTTCACTATCACCACTACCAATATGCTTCATATTAACAAACTTAGGCTACCAGGTTATTGAGGGAAATACTAGTATTTGTATTCCTTTGGGAAGAATTAGAAGGCCTTTTAGTAACTATTCTATGGGATGCAGGAAAATGACAGTGAAATGTCTCGACAAAATGATCCTTCAGATCATTTATTCAATTGAATTGTTGGCGTAGTTCGCTAACCCTATTCCATTCCTTATCCGTCTACTTTGCTGTCCTTCTGCGAAATAGGCCTAGTTACGTGGTCACACTCATCTCGCACTCTTGGTCATGCCTGCTAAATTTCAGCTGGGATTCTCTTCTCTTCCTCTGATTGATAGCCAGTCCCGAAGACACACCGGGTCTAGCATGGCCTATGTGGGCTAACATTGCAGCCATCGGCCAGTAATATTCCAGCCATTCGTACATGTGAAACATATTGTGCATTGGAGCCCTCTTCTAAATGTTTTGGATATTGACTGGGGATGGGGCGTATGGGGTGGTGGCTTAAGAAGCGTCAGTCCCCAGGTATCTCTAACGGCATGGGGCTTATGTAGCAAGGATAATGCGGCAATACCATCCATCAAGCGCATGGATGAGTCTATTCCTAGACCGTTCCCCTTTACAAAGACAAATAAGACATTATGTCCTGTATATCTGCAGCAAATTGCTACTCCATAATTTGTGCAATTTGTTTTGACGGAACAATTAGGGCCTATTAGACTACGTCGATC